CGCTCTGTTGGTTGGCAAGCCTGCGCGACCCTTCAGGTCGGCTAGCACGGTGAAGCTTGCGGCTGCAGGAATTTGATGTCACCATCGTCCATAAGTCCGGCCGTAAGCATGAAGACGCTGACACACTGTCACGCGCACCCCTTCATGTCGTCAGTCAGTCAGAAAGCAGAGGAAGACGAAGGCTTTCTGGGCGCCGTTAGTGCATCAGACTTGAGCAAGCAAACGACAGCGTAATGATGCAGAGATTCGTCCAATCATTGATCATTTAGAGGGCCAGGGTGCAATCATACCACGTCATTTATCCCGCTCGTTGACGTCGTTCTGCCTGCGAGACGGTGTGCTGTACAAGAAGAACGCTCGTTCGAACAATCGTGCTTACCTCCTGGTGGTTTCTCGAGATATGCGAGACGACGTCCTCTTCGCTTGCCATGACGAACCCACATCCGGTCATCTGGGCTACTCAAGGACACTTGCCAGAGTGAGCGAGAGGTACTATTGGCCAGGACTTTCAGCAAGCGTAAAGAACTACGTCAAGAGCTGTCGGGAATGTCAGCGCCGAAAGCAACCATCTGTTAAGCCAGCTGGTTTGCTTCAGCCCATTGAAGCACCCTGCACGCCGTTCGACCAAGTCAACATGGACATTCTCGGGCCATTTCCTATGTCTGCGGACAGCAACAAATGGGTGATCGTCGCGACCGACTATTTGACACGCTACGCTGAAACCCAGGCGATCTCACGAGCCACGGCTTCTGAGGTAGCACAATTTTTCATGCGCCACATCGTGTTACGACACGGTGCTCCTTCCAGTGTAATAACGGACAGAGGGACGGCATTCACGGCGCAGCTTACGGACGAAGTTTTCAAACTGAGTAACACCAGACATCGAAGGACAACTGCGTACCACCCGCAAGCCAACGAACTTACCGAACGACTGAATAAGACCCTCGCAGACATGATCTCAATGTACATCAACGTACAGCACAAAACATGGGACCGGATCTTACCTTACGTCACCTTCGTGTATAATACCACCGTGGAAGAGACCACGCGATTCACGCCATTTCGGCTTCTCTACGGCCGCGAAGTGCAGACCATGCTAGACTCAATGCTACCGTGTCAGGACGAAGACGAGTTGGCAACAGACGCCAAAGAATTCGCAGAGCGTGCTGAGGAAGCTTGGCAACTCGCGCGATTGCACATCGGCCAGCAACAGCAGGCAGACGCAAGACGCTATAATACCCGTCACAGAGAAGTGTTTTACAGCCCCGGGGATCAAGTTTGGGTGTGGACACCCATCCGCCGCCGTTGCCTTAGTGAAAAGTTGCTGAGCCGGTACTTTGGCCCATATAAAGTGTTACGCCGCGTCAGTGACGTGAACTACGAAGTGGTTCCGGACTCAACACCCCATGCACGGAGCAGGACACGGCTGAGGCCGGACGTCGTTCATGTGTTGCGCATGAAACCATTTATTGCGCGTTGTTCGTAACTTTTCCTTTACCGTACCGCGTTCTTTGTGTTTTTTGTTTATTTTGTGAACTTACTTTCTCGTTCATTGACGTTTCCTATATTGGCACGCTCTTCATTTTTACTTTCACTTCATCCGAATTTTCAATTTTTTTTCACGTGCCTATGTAGTAGCATCGCGGTGCTGCTATGTACTTTCCTTTCTTCTTTTTGGTACTTGTTTTTTTTTTTCTTTTCGGAAGGAGGGATAATGCCACCAGCACATAGTGGGTTGAAAGCAAGAGCGGCTCTCAATCTGGAAGGAAAAAGAAGATCGCGTGCTTCTTTGCTCGAGAGCCAGCCACGACTGACGCATCGTCCTAGTGCTAGCTACCTGGTGGTTTAATAAATCCCCCAGTACTTGTGACTCATTGTGACAATATCAATCTGTGACTTTAAACTTATTTCTGTTGATGTGGAAGCGGGTCTCTAGTACGTGATGGTCGCTATCAAAATTCACAGCAGTGTTACTCCACTCCGCTATCTCAGTGTTCCTCACATATGCTAGAACGAGGGTGGTGTCCCAAGTCGATGAGTGGCCGATTTGGGTTGGAAACGCCTTGTCTGTGGTGAGCGTGAGGTACATTTCGGTGCTGTTCTGTCACATAACTCGGCTCTTGCTTGTGTCGTGGCCGTACCCCCATAGTCCATAGGGGCGTTGAAGTCTTCGACGACGACAAGGAAGTAGGTGCTGGCCAGGTCGATGAACTTCTCTAGTATCGTCTGAAACTGCTTAGAAGCGTGGTGGTTTGGGCTAGTTGGTATAACATGATTGTTATAGTGTGAGAACAGAACGACGACAAGAGGACAAGAAGAAGAGCTCTTGAGTTTTAAGTTTGATCACGTGATTCATCACTATACACAGCAGCGCTGAAACTGCTGTCAGGAGTCCCTGGGACTGCTCTAAATATTGAGTTTAAACATGGATTGTTATAGTGTGAGAACAGAACGACGACAAGAGGACAAGAAGAAGAGCTCTTGAGTTTTAAGTTTGATCACGTGATTCATCACTATACACAGCAGCGCTGAAACTGCTGTCAGGAGTCCCTGGGACTGCTCTAAATATTGAGTTTAAACATGGATTGTTATAGTGTGAGAACAGAACGACGACAAGAAGACAAGAAGGAGAGCTCTTGAGTTTTAAGTTTGATCACATGATCCAGCACTATACACTGCAAGGAGTCCCTGGGACTGCTGTAAATATTGAGTTTAAACATGCTGTTCCTGTGGTGGTTACTGTGTTCCTTGTTCAGCAGAACTTCTAACATGATGTATTCGACTTTGCAACTCACCAGGGATGGTCATGAGACAAGTGCGTGTATTTATTGTCCACTAACGTGCATACTCCCTGACCACAGGGCTGCCCAGAAACAGCCCGATAACCTTGAAGAGATGCGGCAGAAACTAGGGCTTCCTGAAAAGCTCTTATCTGTGGTTTATTAACTAGTAATCTAAAACAATGCTGTAAATAAGCCCTTTTGGTGGAGTACTTCTTGCACTCCTATTGCCAGATGCTGAACTTTTGTAATGATCTATGTTTAGGCAGATTTTTTGTTCGCTTGCAGTGAGCTGCACAAAACATGGGAAGGCATAAAGAAACTTCCAACTTTCTTGATGTTTGGAAACATCAAGAAAATTCCAAGCATGTACATTTAGAAGCATCGAAAACGCTGTTATTACCAGACAACAATAATAACAACCATGACAGTGATGGCACGGCGCAAGCGGCAGGCAAAAGAACGCTGGTAGACAGTGCAGGCAGCGCAGAAGTGCGTCACAGTATTGTGTGCTATTTCACAAGCTAAATGGTGTTAGTTGCAGCCAGTGGCTTGTCGTTCTAGGTGCTCTCTTAAACCGTAACTGAGAAAGGTCTGTAATACACCCAAACCTCAATTTAACGAACCCGTTTATAATGATATATTGGTTATTAATGTCACATTAATTTATCTCGCGAGCGCTTGCGAAGGATGGATTTGAGAGAAAGCTTAAAACGACAGGCATAGCAAGACAAACACACTTTATACCCTGAAAGGGCAAAACCCATACACTGAATTCGTGTTAAATCATTCAGTAACTCAATAACACTCAATAACTCAGTAACACTGAAAAACTCAATAACACTCAATGGCAATCTGCGTACATGGGCAAACCCAAACCGACTGTAGCTCAGTCCAATTCATTACTAGCCCTAGCCGCTAGCCCTAAGCCAATATAGCGTCAACAATGGAATGTTCTTACAGTTCGAAACGTTGCGACTCGTTGCCCTTGGCTGTGTCGAGGTTTAGTCGAGTCCTCCACCATTGACGGGCTGCTCCACTTCTTACGGTCGTCGTCCGTTGACCGCGCCGCACAAACAGCTCGTCCTCATGGCCAGTGTCCAGGTCCTCGTCTCAATCTTCAGCCTCGCTAGGCTTAGCTTGTCATAGACTGCCCTGCTGACTGGTCCACTCTGCTGACTGGTGTGGGCTGCTTCCGTCCTAGCACAATGTGGGATAGCTGCAGAGTGGTAAGTGATATGCCATATTGTACACTTCAAGGGGGAATAGTGGTTATGGGGTTCAACTGCTGACCGGCAAGTGGTGAGATTGAATTACCGCCGCCATGGCCGCATTTTCTATAGAGGCGACAATGCTTGATGTCTTTGTACTTGGATTTAGATGTGCTTTAAAGATCTTCAGGTGATCGAAATTTCGAAGCCCCCCATCACGTCATTTCTCATAATCATATCTTGCCTTTGGGATGTGAAACCTCGGCAATTATGTGCCGTATTTTGACAAATAGGCCACCAAGAACATATTTGAGCAACAACATGCCAAATAAAAATGTTTGTCAGTACCGCTTTAAAATTTACTTTACCGTAATTTAAGTTTAATCTATTTCTTCCATCTATGCGCTTAATGTTTTTCATTTCGTTTGACTGTTTAACACTAACTGCTTCAAGACATATTGAATCTAGAACATGTCGACTTCTGCAAGATGAATCTCCCTTCTATTGAAAGTTTTCATGTGTTTGGGTTGACATCCATCTGAAACCCTTTGTTGTCTAGGTGGCATTGGGAGCTCCATGAGCTATGTCACTGTCTTCTCTTGTTGGTAGATGGCTTAAAGATCAACATGTGACAGAGTTTTGTGTGATTGGGAAGTAAATATCATAGGAAAAGTGATGCCGACCAATGTAATATTAAAAATAAAAACTTGTATTGTTTTAAAAATGAGAATCAGCCAACGTCTTTGGGTCCAACTCAAACCCTTCTTCAGGGGTGACTGTGGCGCACCAGAGAGAACATCAGTTTATAAGGCCTTCTTCTATGCAAGTCAAGGGATCAAGCCTGTTTTTACTCATAATAATATTACAGTGGTTGGTTTCACTTTTCCAGTGACATTATTGGTACATGCACTGAAATTTCTACTCGAAAGGTAGCAAAACCAGTTTTGTTCACTTTTCTTAAGTAATGATTCAAAGGTTTCAGAAACTGTCATTGACAACTGTCTTTCAGGCAAGTGGTTCAACTATGGCATCATTGTGGTTGTGATGCTACTGGACTTGAACATGTGGAAAAATCAGATCTTCTACCAGCCCGACGACTATGGCCAATACACTGGTCCGAACAACAAGGTCCGCACTGTGGTCAACTTTGCCACATTAGCTGCAGGTGAGTGAGTCTTCACTTCATGGCTTGCATATTGTTACACGACATCGGCAACGAGAGAGCATCAGGTAGACGACGAAAACGATGAATGCGATTGTGCTCATGTTGTTGTTGCTAATGTACCTCCATCTTGGCCGCAGCTGCCTCTGACTCTCCCTGTATATTTTGTAAATATATTTATTTGATTCATTCTCTCTCTCCTGTGACGTTTGGTGGTGGTGCGGGGTACAATGCGATATAACTGAAGCTCCGCAGTGGCCGACGTTTGGATTTTCCATCATGGCGAACCAGGAACCCGCTCCCGCCGAGGCGACTACAACAACAACTGTTCTCCTTTCGCAGCTAAAAGATCCTGGCACATTCTGTGGCATTGATGATGTCAACATTGAAGAATGGTTGCCATTGTACGAACGTACAAGTAAGAATTACTGCTGGGATCAAACTCTTATGTTGGCTAACATCCTGTTCTACTTGAAACAGCAACAGTGTGGTTCGAGAACCACGAAGCATGAAATTGGAAGCTGGGATACGAGCAAGGAAAAGGTGCGCGCCCTTTTGGGTAAGTCTGTGGGTAGAAAGGCAGCGGCCAAGAAGGAGTTAGCATCTCATGCGCAAACGTCAGCTGAGTCCTACGTGACTTACATACAGGACGTGCTCGCCCTTTGCCAAAAAGCAGGCAATGGCATAGAAGAAACTGAGAAAGTATCACACATATTGAAAGGCATTGCAGATGATGCGTTCAACCTTCTCATATGCAAGGACTGCAACCCGGTCGATGCCATCATCAAGGAGCGCCAGCGTCTTGAGGCCGCAAAATGTCGACATATCGCCCACCATTTCACTCGACTAACAAACACAACAGCGATCAGGTCGTGCGAAGACGGGCCTGCACTACAGACGCCGTTAACTGCAGAGCATGTGACCAAGATCATCAGACGTGAATTGAAGCTCTGTCTCCTGGGTCCACGTGCTCCCATGCCTGTGACTCTAGCCCTCAGATAGTGCCACTAGTACATGCCATTGTGCGACAAGAGCTTTTCCGTGCTGGATTGGACTTTCATTGCACTACAGCTCCCTCTCAGCTGATTCACCGTTCCTCGACCCCCTGTTTCGTATGCCCAAAGCCAAAACCTTCCAGTGCGCCCTCGCAATCCAGCTGAGTGGAGGACTGCTGACAATCGTCCAATTTGTTTCAACTGCCGCCATATCGGACACATGGCCCGCCATTGTAACACTCGGTGGTATTGGCATCAGGCATCCTATGGGTAAACCCATCACCCAGAGAGGGATCATGGACACTTTCAACCTTACCGGGAATCACCTCGGGCCACCAGTGAAGACGTTCCTTTTATGCCGCCATATCGTCATCGTTCTCCATTTCTGCATGCTCACAAGTCCCGTTCACCGCTCTCCTGTCGCCCGTCGTCTCACTTGCCCCAATTTCGCCGACTGACCACCTGCCGGGGAGGGGAAAACTAGATGATGCAGCTCCCGAAGGTGATGCTGCATGCACCACTTGCCCGCCAAATCCTCTGACCATGCTGCCGACTCTACACAACTTATTGACGTTGAAGTAAACGACACACTCATTTTTGAACTTGTGGACACAGGGACACACATATCAGTAATAAACTCACAACTTCGTTGCCGCCTTAAGAAAGTTTTAATGCCACCCACTGTACCACTCATCCAGGTCGCCGACGGTGGCACATTTCCCATGCTTAGAATGTGCTCCACGCGTATAAGTGTTGCCGATCACTCCACGACATTGCTATTTGCTGTGCTCGAGAAATGTTCCCATGAACTTATCCTCGGCATAGACTTTTTATCCGCGTACTCTGCCCTTATTGATTTTGGAACCGGCATGCTTCAACTCGATTTACCGTGTTATCATGACGACCCAACACCAGCTCAATCACGTCTGTGTTCTGTAGATCACATTCGTCTAGCACCTCAAGCCGTTACCTACGTGAACCTGAGATCTGTCCCTCCTGTTCCCGACGAGGCCTACATGTTGACACCTATTGCTGACGTTCTGCTGGCCAAAAATGTTGCCATGCCTCACACACTTTTGACAATCAAAGGAAATACAGCATCTCTTCTGATCCTAAACTTTAGCTAGTGCACTTCAAGTTATCCCAGATGGTATGGTTTGGTGAAAGTTTCTTCTATAGGTGCTGCCTTTTTGGCATTCGTTGGCGAATATTCTTCATCATCTGCCCCATTCTCCTCCTCAAAGAGCGCAGCGGATGTCACCATCGACAAGGTGATCGCCCCTGGCCTTCTTCCAGCACAGACAGCTGATATCCGACACCTGCTGAAATTCTACCATGACATCGTTGATTTTGGTGACCGCCCTTTGGGTCAGACATCTTTCGTAACTCATAGGATTAACACTGGAGATGCCAGCCTCATCCGACGACGTCCTTATTGCGTGTCTAATGCTGCGTGACGAGTTATTTAGCACAAAGTTAAAGAAATGCTCACAAAAGACGTCATCGAACCTTCCTGCAGCCCATGGGCATCGCCGGTCGTGCTAGCCAAGAAGAAGGATAGCAGCTGGCGCTTCTGCGTAGACTACCGTCATTTAAACAAAGTAACACGTAAGGTCGTGTATTTACTGCCGCAGATTGACGATGTTCTCGACTGCCTACATGGGTCTGCCTAATTTTCATCTATTGACTTATGATCAGGATACTGGCAGATTTCTGTCGATCATTGAGATCGTGAGAAAACCGCATTCATCACACCTGATGGACTTTTCCAGTTCAAGGTTATGCCATTGGGATTGTGTAATGCCCCAGCTGCATTTGAAAGGATAATGGACTCTCTCCTGTATGATACAAATGGTTCACATGCCTGTGCTATCTAAATCATGTAATCGTATTTTCACCTGCATGTGAAAGCCACCTTAGCGGCCTATCAGCTGTTCTTGAGGTTTTCCCAACAGCAGGACTTCAGCTCAACTCTTCCAAATGTCGCTTTGGCCCTCGGGAAATCACTGTGCTGGGCCACCTTGTCAGTGTTCGAGGCGTCCAACCTGATCCTGACAAAATTAGAGTTGTCAAAGATTTTCCCGTACGACGTTCCACAAAAGATGTGCACAGTTTTATCGGCCTCTGTTCTTACTTTCGACATTTTGTGAAGAATTCGCTGACTATGGCCCTTAGCACTTATGGAACTACTGAAGAATGACATGCCTTTTTATTGGGGTACTGACCAAGCGACTGTCTTCAGCACCGTTACAACATTACTTCCCCACCCATGTAGGCCCATTTCGACCTGTCAGCCCATACTGATGTTCGTACCGATGCCAGCGGACATGGAATCGGTGCTGTTCTTGCCCAGCGGCAGCAAGGACAGGATCGCGTCATCGCTTATGCAAGTTGCCTTTTTTCTCCTTCGGAGAGCAAGTTTTCCATCACAGAGCGTGAGTGCCTCGCACTAGTCTGGGCAGTCGGAAAATTTCGACCATACTTGTATGGCCGCACCTTTTCGGTAATTACGGATCACCATGCCTTGTGCTGGCTGTCATCCCTTAAAGATCCAACTGGACGACTTGGCCTTTGGGCCTTAAAACTCCAATACAGCTTTGACGTGGCATACAAATCTGGCCTAATGCACCAGGATGCCGACTGTCTATCCCGTCACCGCGTGGACCCACCCGACCTTTAAGCACATGATTCTGATCCTTGTGTCTTCGTCCATGTCTGCTTTCACCGACATATGGAAGGAACAGCTCAGTGGTGTCCACTTGCGGTCTATCATGCAGAGTCTACGTTTGCCCCATGTAGATCCGTCGCTACACTTGTTCGTTCTACGCGATGGCATTTTTTACTGACGCAACACCAGCGCAGACAGACCAGAGCTACTACTCGTAGTTCTTGCGACACTCCGTTCCGCTATTCTTGAACAGCTTCACGACGCTCCAACCGCTGGACATCTCGGGGTCACGTGCATGTACGATCGTGTGCGGCGTAGATTCTTCTGGCCAGGCCTTTACCGTTCTGTGCACCAATACGTTGCTGCTTGTGAGTCCTGCCAGCACTCCAAACATTCCACCTTGCCACCAGCTGGTCCGCTCCAACCAATAGACATACCCACCGTCCTTTTCTACCGTGCCAGTTTTGATCTCGTTGGACCATTTCCTACTTCTCTCACTGGAAACAAGTGGACAGCCATGGCCACTGACTACGCCACAAGATACGCTATCACACGAGCGCTACCGACAAGCTGTGCCACTGACGTCCCAGACTTGTTGCTTCATGACGTAATTCTTCACCATGGCGCTCCTTGACAGCTGCTGACCAATCGTGGTCGCCCATTTCTTTCAAAAGTAGTAACATCCTTCGCTCGTGTTCGGCGCGTCACGAGCTCACTACGGCCTACCACCCGCAAACAAATGGTCTTACCAAGCGCCTAAATCGAACCTTGACCTTGACAACAATGCTCTTCATGTACGTTTCCTAAGATTACCTTGATTGGTATAGTACTTTGCCTCATGTGACATTCGCATAGAATTCGTCATGCCACGACACCGCTGGCTTCTCTCCCTTCTATTTATTGGTCAGCTGCCATCCAGCGTTACCCTTCGAGACTCTTCTCCCATCGACTACGCAAACAGTGGGGCTCTTCGATATCCCATTTCTGGCTACCCGCGGGCGGCCAGAGCCAGCCAGAGCGCGCTTGTTTTTCTCTGGCTGCTTCGTCCCCCCCCCCCCCCCTGACGGCGCACTTCCGGTTGGCGTTCGTTTTTCTCGGGTTGGATGTTCTGGTGACCCGCGGGGAGCCCGAGGGTCGCCAGACGCTTCCAGGACAATTTAGTCGTGAAAGCTTTCTGGAAGGCTGTGGGCAGGTTTCGGGCTAGCAGACGCCGCAAAGGTACGATGCGCGCTCGGTGCCATCTTTGTGAGGACTAGATAGATTGTAATGTGGGCGCTTGAGGACTGAGCCTTCGCTTGTCATTACGCGTGGCGTTATCTTCTAAAGCCTGTTCCGCCTTGCGAGATGGAGCGATTGCGAGTGGCGGTGAGTCTATGAAGCTACTGTTAATCGCTTTTGTTATGTTTTCCGTGAAGCTTCCTCCTGTGAACAATGCGGTGAACTGTTGCCTGTTGACTGCGTCGTGCACATGCCTTAAAAGTTATGTACGTTGTACACGTTTGTACGCACGCATGGAGACAACTTTGGAGTTATTCTTTTTTTGTAGTAGTCATTCGTGAAGCTGTGCCTGCTTTCTGTGCACTTATCGAAGACGATTGTGATCGAACTAGCTCGCTCCGTCGTATGTTTGCGTACATGAACCTCTTAAAACCTCTGTCCTGACTACTCGATTGATCTTCGATGCTGATAGAAGGCCCTAGATCGCGACTGTTGGTGATGCTCGCTGGTCGCGAACGGCGTGCGAACCCATTTCCATCTATGAGCCAGCATATGTGGTAGGATATTATACGATACAGCGCGAGAAAAAAAAATGGAGAATGGATTCAGAAATTTATTGGCCCATTTTATCATTGGCTTTGTCTTTTTTCACCTCTTCGTAATAATGCCGCGCAGTACGTACTATGACCTAGTAGGTCGAATCAAAGCTGATATACATGACATTCGTTAAGTGCCACTTAGGACTAGAAAACAGGCCAAGGCAAGTTCTAAAGATGGATCGATAACATGCCATGCAGATGTTTATTTTATATACGACGCACACTCGTGGTACCGATACCTGCGCATATCATAAACTTTAGACAAAATGTAAGTTGGTCAACGTGTGTTTGCGACGTATAATACGGGATAGCTGAGAAGGCATATATCTTCAAGCTCTTTTGGGGACAGGATCGCTTCCGTGTGACTTCGCGTCATGTTGTGCAGTGACTAATACATGTACTAAAGAGACGTGAGTTTGTCAAGCCGTCAACGTCGCGGCAGCTCACCTTGCATCGTTCTCAAGGCAGCGTGCGCCAGCTGGCTGTTTCGTTCGCGAACACGGCGAGTGATCGTGCGAGGATACGAAGTCATACCCCAAATGCGTACGCTCGAGGATATTATTACAGCTTTTTGGCGAGCTTAGCTATGTATTTCCAAGTGGACAATGCAGAAAAAAACCAACATACACGCGGCGCATTGTTTTGTTTGCTGCCATGACGGTAGAGTTTGTTTACGTTTACGCTGGCTGTCCTGTGTTCGATTTTGCGACCTTCAGCCTGTCGCCGGGCGTGCGCGTAGCCAGCCTACGTCATTTCGTATCAGAACCGGATGCAGCAGTAGCTTTCGGGGAGCCCGCGGTTCTCCAGAACCAACCCAGGAATCCGAAAATTGAAGAGCCCCGGTTACAGAGTACGCCCAAGATGCCACTGCTCGGGCTCAAGTGGCCCATCAAATCGCACGGGAACGTCTTCTTGGCTCGCAGCTTTCTCAGAAGGCTCGCTACGATAGCCATCACAGAGTAGTTTCCTACTCTCCAGGTTCATTGGTCCTTCTATGGACACCATGCCGCCACGTTGGCCTCTCTTCGAAGCTCCTATCTCGTTACTCGGGGGATTACAAGGTTTTACGGTGGATTCCTGAGGTCACATATGAGATCCCTCCGCTGGACAGTAAGTCTTCGTCGTCCAGACCCGCCACTGACATCGTCCACGTGTCTTGTCTGAAGCCATACATCTCCGCATATGATGCTACTTTCCTTTAGGTGCCGAGACGGCGCTACCGGCGGCGAGGGCGTTATATGTTACATGACATTGGCAACGAGAGAGCATCAGGTAGACGATGAATGTGATTGTGCTGGTGTTGTTGTTGCTGTTGTACCTCCACATTGGCCGCAGCTGCCTCTGACTCTCCCTGTATATTTTGTAAATATATTTATTTCATTCATTCTCTCACCCCCGTGACAATATTTACAGTATGGTATCCATCACAGTCATAATGTACATTTAAAACAGTTCACTTCTGAGCTTTGTATAAGCACATCACATAGTTTATAACAATTTGCTGTACCATTTCAATGTTGTGACCAGTTTTGGTAAGGTTTAACATGACATGCCCTTCAATCCATTAAACACCACATTGCATCATCAAACATGACTGTGCAACTATTTAGTGTAGCGATATGTGATAATAGTGCCACCACCACAGTTTGGTTGCAAGCAGTCCCAGAGTCCTGTGTTGCAGGCAACCGGACTCTTTGGACACTGGAGTACAGAGTGAGTCAGTTTAATCCAGCCACCAACCACAGCTTGGCTGAGGAGGACATCCTTATGAACTCACGCTACCTGGGATACCCACTATCACTCAAGGGGCTGGCCTTCCTGCCTTCGCTGCTGGGATTCGCCATGTTTGGGGTATGTTATCGCTGAAACTTTTGTACCCAACTAGTGCACCGACAAAGAAAACCAATACAGCAGAACCTCGATTACATGTCCTCTGGTTAAGGGATGACCCAAATTTTAAGTTGAATCAGTTTGGTCCCAGCAAAACTGCCATATAATGGTAATATTACAGGAAATCGACTGTTGAATGTTTATTGAATCAAATAATTTAGTATCCAGGTAAAACATCGTGTCGTCACAAAAAGCTAGGCTTGTGCCGATGGTGAATATTCGGTTCAGAGTGAATTCCATGCCGAAAATGCTTTTGGTGAAATAATTTCAAATTAAATTCGACTAGTATATCACATGTTATTATCATGAGTAAAAGCGCGTGAGACACGTGCCAAACGCTGGAATGCGACGAAGTGTGCCAAAGGCTCCAATGGGCATACACGACACATTCACATATAGGATTGCTTGGAGAAGAGCTTGTGGTGCACGACCCGAGCCGGGGTGAAAAGTTCTAGACAAAAAACGGTTGTGTGCTGTGGGGTTTTCATCTTCGAAAAAGGCGGAAATAAGTGTCCCTCAAGCAGTAGCAACCCGGTTCTGAAGGCTATCTGCATAAACACCCTGGCAATGGCTACTGACCTTTTTTTGTAGCCAAGTGAGGCTGCCTGGACTTGCCGCACCCATTCACAGCAGTCCTCGGTGAGCCTATTGGCCATGAAACCAAGCAGAGTTGCCACCTGGTGGCACTTGGCCAAAGTAGCAAAGTGTGGATCGCTCTATGCGTCGTCTGCTCTATGTGTGCATATGTGTGCGTAGTCTATGTGTGCATATGTCATGCACGTTCTCATAGTGTGGTTTGTCTGGTTATGTCAGCGCGACTGTAACTGTTTCAATGCATGCCTGAAACGACGCATGAAAGCATTTAGTCTTGCTCGGCTGCTGATGCATTTTAATAGGATTGGCGAGTGCAGCTTTCCAGAGTGCTGTTTTATTGTCGTCTATACCACCCATTTATCAGAATAATTTCAGGGTGGGTTCCGCTTTCTGTACCAAGCATGTTGCTAAATGCTCTTGGCATCTTCGCAAACATGAGAACCAATAAATGGTGTGTGAACGCAGCGTTTTATAGCGACGACACGGGTGTAAAAAAAAAAGAATCAGGTTCTGGGCCATGTACTTGCACGTCGTTGATAGATGTACAAGTACAACATTGTAGTTAATCGATCATGCGAGAAGCCTTAGTTGTGTTTATCTGGCCATGGTGCCACTGCATAGATATATTACTATCCCATAAACTATGACACATCGGTACTTAAACTGTACCTAAAACAGAGTTACTGTGCTCATCCGTGTGCTTAGATTTAAGAATGCTTTGAAGAGCCCAGAAGTTGAAAATTAATTCAGATGGCATGCTTTACTTATAATGTATGATTTCACTGAAAACTTCATATTTTTACATTATCTTCAGCGTTCATGTGGCATTGTTAGTGACAGACAGAAGGCAGTGGTCATTTTATATCTGAAAAAAAAAAAAAACTTGTCTCATTAACGAGGCCTTTGTTGTTGCACTGTCATGCACGTAGTTCATCAATGAAAGCTTTCTGCTGAACTTTTATATGATATTTTTTAAAGATTTTTACTGGTGCAAGAACATGTGCCTACACGTGGTAAACGCAGTGTAGCACAAAATGCCGTGAGCCGCTAAACTTCCTGACTAGACTTATTGACTGTCCCACATCTCATGGTGAACAGAATGAGAGAAAAAAAATTTATGCGCACAAGATGTGAACAGTGGTGCTGATCTAATCGCACAGATATAAGGGCTTTCCACGCTCTTTCTTTCTCTCTTCTTTTGTAATGTGGAGATGACAAGAGATTTAAATAAGTAGTGCAGTCATGCTGCAGCAGTACGTAGTACCGAAACACAACTAACCACGTACAAACAACGCAGCAAAGGCGTGATTTAATGCGAAAGCGTGAAAGTCACCAAGGCAAGCTTTACTATGAAAAGCAGAATGCGCTTTACTTGCGGGTAATGTTAACGTTGCGTAGGCATCGTGCACCGATTCAGTAGAGAAGAGCATAGATACTCTCTTAAACCACCCCGTAAATGGCCAAACGCCAATTTTACGAGTTGGTTTAGATGCAAAGATTTTGGGATGTCTTTGCATCATGTGCTCAATGCTACATAAGAACCTGTTGCTCAATCGTCATTCCTTTGTGAACAAGGCTTTCGTATGAATCCAGAAACGCCATTCTTTTGTTTTAGCATTGCTCAATGACTTGTTTTTTCAACAATACCTTTGCCTGATTAGACAGTACTTTGTCGAGCTCTTGACTATAGCAGAATCATACTACATTCGTAAGAGACAACATGACGGTGTCAGTCAAGCCACAATTTTGCTGCACATTAAGCAATACGCGCATCATCACCATCACCTTGACTCGCCCACCATAAGGCAAAGGCCTGCCATGATCTGCCAGTCAACCCGGTCTTGTGCTTTCTGCTGCCACGTTATACCTGCGAACTTTTTAATCTCATGGGCCCACCTACGTTTCTATCTCCCTTTCAAACATTAACCTTCTCTTGGAATTCAGTCAGGAACCCTCAAAGACCATCGGTTATCCTGCCTACTCGCTACATGCCCGGCCCATGTTCATTTCTTGACTTAAGCTATTATATACTTTATCCCTCTCTCTTCCCTGACACACTTTGCTCTCTGCCCATCTTAAGGTTACACCTATCATTTCCTGTCCTATCACTTGCTGCATTTTCTTCAATTTAAGCTGAACCCTCTTTGTAAGCCTCCAGGCTTCTGCTTTGTAGGTAAGTACTAGCACGATGTAGCTGTTACATACCTTCCTCTTGAGGAATAGTGGTAGGCTGCCATTTATGATTTGAGAATGTTTTCTGAATGTGCTCCACGGAATTCTCATTCTTCTAGTTATTTCACTCTCATGATTCGGCTTCGTGGTGTCTACTTGTCCTAAGTAGACAGTTTCTTTTAAAACCCGCAGCATCTCGCCGCTTATTGCAAAGCACTGTTTTTTGCTGAGAGTATGCCACATCACTCTAGTTTTATGCATATTAATTTTCAGACCTACTCCTCTGCTTTCCTTGTCTATTCAAATAATGAGCTCTAATTCATCCCCTGAGTTACTCATCAGTGGAATGTCAGCAGCGAATCACAACTTATCCCTAACTCTTCCTTGAAGGTATCCTGTAAACATGTTAAGGATATGTTTATTTATTTCAATAAATAAATAAATACAAGGTAGACATAAATACATTCAGAGGTCCCAAAGTAAAAACTGTCGGGGGGACGTCTTAACAGAAAATAAATGGGGGTTGGGGGTTACACTAATCTCGGCAAACAATCAGTTATGTAACTTATACAAGGTGAAGTGCATCACTAGCAATGAAGAAAAATAATCATACAAATGTCAATATGATAATCACAATAATAGACAGATTGAAGAAGTAAAATGGAAGAATTTACATATAAATCCAGACAGGGATTAATGTCACGTGCAACCAGCAATGCCAAAACGCAGCAAACATAGGCAAAATTTATACATAGGCAAAGTGAAAACACTTAACAATTGGCAAAAGTAAATTGGAAAATATTTTGTAGGAAAAAAAACATGATACATTCTATGTGTGCGCAGTGTGTTATTGAAACGATCCTTAATTTTTTTGTTTGAATGATAAGCATGAAGATGACTTAATATCCAACGGTAATCTAAAGTGAAATGCTTGAACATTCAATTGTAAGTTTTTCTAATTAGTTCTAACTTTTGGAAGAAGTAGATGAAGTTGTTTTGGAAATCTTGTAGTTTTGCTATTAATGAGGTTTGATCGATTAAAACCTGGGATATTGAGGTTAGTATATATAAGACAAAACATTAGTATGTTTTATGACCTTATGAAAGAATAACAAACGTAGAGGCAAAACATTTAGGAAACTGAATATGGGAGCAGAGCGAGATGTATATGGTTCAAATGTAATTAATCATAATGCCTGTTTTTGCAAAATTTCTGGGTCATGAAGATGTGTGGAATATGTACTACCCCAAGAAGAAAGGCAGTACGAGATGTGACTGTGTATGTATGCATAATATAAAGACATGAGAATGTTTTGATGTAAGTAAGAGCGAGGTTTCATGATAATGTGAATACTAAATGAAATTTTTTTTAATAGTAATTGAGCATGACATTAAAACTTCAAATTGTCATCTAAAACAATACCAAGAAATTTAGTAGACTGTGATCTGGAAATTACATCATTACGGTATGTAAAGAAACCATAATAGAATGATTGGGCAAAATTTTTGAGGAATGAAATTACATAAATGTAGCCTTAGATGGATTAATTATTATAACTTATTTTTTAGACACCATCAAAATACATTTGCTAGATTCACGTTGAGTTTATACTACAGCGCACTAAAATATCTTTTGGATGTGAAAATGGTGTTGCCTTCAGCATATAGGAGACAGTTTGCATGTGTTAATATTTGTGGCAAATCATTGATGAATATGAGAAATAAAAGTGGCCCAAGTATTGATCCTTGCGGAACACCTATATTTTTGATGAAGAGAGGACACCATCAATTTGTACTCTGTATGACCAATCTGTTTAATAGTTAAGAATGAATTCTAAAGGTGGCCCAGAAATGCCGTAACATTCAAGTTTGCCTAAAAGAATACGATGGTCGATGGAGTCAAATGCCTTGGTGAAATCAATAAATAGAGCACAGACTGAAAGCTTTTGGTCGATGGCTAATTTAACCCTTTCTGTAGAAGTAATAAGTGCCAATTCAGTAGATAAATTCTCATAAAAACAAATTGATTATTAGTTAAAATATCAAATTTTGACAGGTATTTACTCAGTCGATTGTATATTAGTTTTTTTATCACTTTACTGAAGAATGACAAAATGCAAATAGGACAATAATTACTTAGGCAATTTTGATCACCTTTTTTAAGCACTAAAATAACTTTGCCTATTTTGAGGTGC